GATGGACACACATATACAGACTCACATGCACACACACAGACACACAGATAGAGAATCACTCACACACAGACACACACAAACACACACATAGAGACACAAAGACACATAGACAAACTCACATACACAGACACACACTAACACACACACACACAGGCACACACATAGGCACACGTATACACTCACACACACACATCCACACAGAGATAGTTTCTGAGAGAGAATCTGAGTGTGTCAGAGACTTTGTGTGGGAGAGATAGAGACAGACATGCAGAGACAGGCCTTGTGTGGAGAGACAGGAGGAGAATTGTGTGAGCAGAACATAATCTTGGAGTCAGTTCAACTTCCCGCTTAATGCTCCGCAAGGAGGAGGATAATAATCCTTGCCTTTCGCACAGAGCTTTCCATGTCACGAGGATGTCACAGGTTATGTCACACGGTATACTATAAAGTGGAGTGGCTGTGTATTTTGTAATTGAACGTAGAAGCATAGTTTGCACAGTAACGTCCCACAAACAGCCATGGAGTGAATGAACAATATTATTGGGGACTGTTGGCCAGGATACAACACCAGGCAGGCAAGTTTGGTAATTCAACCAATGATCTTCATATTTTTTCTTGACTTTTGAGCACGAAGCGGCAGTCATACCCCTCAAACAACCAGCGCTAGCTCTGATTTTGATTAAACATTACGAATCAAATTCAGATGTGAACCTCTTTTCCCATCACTTACATTTCCATTGTAAAGGTTTCACAAGGCACCACCTCCAAGGCCTTGCGATAATTGATGCAGCTGTTTTTCTCTGAATTTTACAACCTTCTGTGATCTTGTACAGAGTCACAACCTGTCAACGCATTGCTAACCAGAACATAAACCAGCTTGCTCCTTCTTGATCAAATGATGAGTCTCCAATCTGGGAAAGCTAACTGCAGTGAGATTCCTGAGAAGTTCTGCGTGTGTTTGTGGAGAGACACCACAAATGCCCTTTTGACATTGGCTGAGGGGAGAGCCTGTCTCAGCAGACGTCCTGATGAGGTTTAAAATATAAATTTTCCTGGACTTTATGAGAATCTTTTTATCACCAGATTTCACGTGAACTGTAATAATTTGCACAAACAGTATCAGCCAGTTTCCTCTCTTGCAAGTTCACAGCTGAGTGTCAGCTTGCAGGAGACCTGTAGCTCAGTGGTTAGAGCACTCGCTTTGCAAGTGAGAGACGTGAGTTCAATTCCAGGCAGAGGGCGAAACCTTGGGCAAGTTTCCTTACTCCACACAGAGCCTAATAATAATCCCTCCAAAACAAAAACGATAATAAATTGGTCATTTTCAATCCACGATTGTTTGTGGGACATTGCTGTGCGCAATTGGCTGCCGCGTTCGCCCACAAATATACAGTCAATTCACTTTACAGTATATTCTGTGAAGCGCTTTGGGATGTCCTCCCGACGTGAAAAGCGCTATATCAAATGCAAGGATTATTATTATTATTATTATTGAAATGCAGAGTTATCCACTCGCCCTTGTGGCCACGCGAAGTACTACAGCCTGGAGACTGCTTCTCCATTTGATCGTAATGTTGTCAAAAGACGTCAAGACAGCGGGGCTGAGGAATTCTCAAATTACTATCATTTACTCAATGCAACACAAAGGCCTGGACAGATTCAGCACAACATTGCGAACATGTTGGCCTTGTTTAGCACGATTTTGCTAAACTATATTTAATTCAACAATATTTGCAATTGCGATGTCACAAATTTAGCTGTGCATATGATTCACCAGAATTGTCGCAGTGAAGGAACATACAGTTCACAGATCCCTTTTGAGAACAAATGTATAGTTTGAAAATGGAATGTTTGTCGTCAGCTCAGATTTTTTTTCTGGAGGAAAAAAACGCAAATCGGAAATTTTTTTTTAACTGCATTGTCAATTATTTTAAAAGCTATTATGTCTCATATGCTCGCCTACATATCTGTACGTGAGGTGCAGACCTTATTCATTGGACAACTGTAAAGAAATTTAAAAGGCACAGCTGATCGTCCTGTTTACCGAATACAAGAAATGGCATAGAATGATCTTGAGGGACAAGTCATTCTGCTCAACTGGTCCATCTGTCCTCCCGTATATCCATCTATTCCCTCCCCTACGCCGCTCATTCGCCAAACCTATTCCCCTGAATTCCCTTCTAAACACATCAAAACCCTTCTTAAATACACAGACTTTTTCACGTCAGCCACAGATTGTGGCGATAAATCCCACAGTCGCCCTAAACTCTGCGCGAAATGATGTTCTCCTAAACTCCCTAATATCAAATAATTAAAGCATCGTATATCCTTACCCTTTCACACAGCCTCATCCACATCAGGATTCCTTAAAGCATTTCACAGGCTACGCTTCAAAGGGCAGCTCTCTGTATTAATGACCCCACCAGTGGATTCACAGCTTATTAATATCCACCTTATTAAATCATTATCACAAACTTACCCAGCTGTATGAGGCCTTCTCTCAATCTGGGGAGAAAAGATCCAAGCTTTCTTGTTAACCGCATCCACTCATCTTGGTAACTTCCTTGCTCCCTACCCTGTAATCGCTGCAATGCTGTGGAACATCAACTTGTATTGCTGGTATGTATTTTCCTATTTTAAAGCGTTTTATCAATCTATTCTGCTGCCTCTCATTTGTTTGAATTTTATTTGTAAAGCGTCTATCGCGTCAGGAGGACGTCCCAGGAGTACTGAGCGGAAGCAAAATAGTAAGTAACTAAGAAGAGATAAAGTGTGTGCCAACTGAAAAGAGGAAGTAGGATAACAAATACAGAAGCTGAACCGAGAGCGAAAATCTGTGCCATCTCCACTCTGTAGTTTCTTACACTTGACTCTTGGCTTTTTTGCTACGCCCAAACAATTCATACAGATTCACACGAATGTTTGTAAATTGTTGTGACAGTTTGTTTGTCGACGAACACAAACATACACATAATTTGCTCACGAGAATGTCTCAAGAACAGGTATTAGATGAATGACCAATACTAATCTGAGGAATTGTACAAAGTGACACATTGAGAACGCACTTCTCCTTTGCACAACATTAGTCACACTGCGTGTTCGGGTCAGCCCACACCTTCCTGTTAGGGCTTGACTGATCGCATTAAAAACAACTTACTATGGTGTGTGTCGGTGTGCGTTCGCGTGAGCGAGAGAGAGAGAGAGGGAGAGAAAGAGAGGCATGTTTTGCAAGGTTTACTGCAAAAGAGCCCTGTCGTTTCCGTGCCATCTTTGCAGTGTTTGTGTTTGTGTGTGTGTGAGAGAGAGAAAGAGAGAGAGAGAGAGAGAGAGAAAGAGAGAGAGAGAGGGAGAGAGTAATTCTGAGTATCTGCTTTCAAAGTCGTTCAATATCTATCTATAATCACGGGTTCGTTTGTGTGTGTGAGTGTTCGTGTGTTTCACACCTCAGCCTCTATGTGTATGTGCGCGTATGTGTTTGTGTGTGTGTGTGTGTGTATGTCTGTTTCTCACTGGTTGTGTCAATCCATCGCTCTTTGTGTTTCACAGTGAAGTGGACGTTTAGGGCTCACAGAGCTGCTCCTGAGAGAAATAATCCACGTCTGCAGAGCCCGCTGCTCACCGAACATACATTCAAGACTCCAGTCTTTGCTCTTCACTCGAGCTCTTCTTCATCCTCGTCATGGAGCTGTCCTTTCTCATCCTCGGTGAGTACCGTTGCTATCCCAAACACAGGGACGGCCCAGCCACGGAGATGCAATGGATAGAGGATTGAGTAGCCACTAACTTGACGATAAACTGTCCTTCCTACCCAACATCGGTGCCATGACCCAATCTGTTTTCCCCCACTCCCGCAATATCTACCGGCTCCAGCATTGTCCCACACAGTAGGCCACCGGAAACTCAAAACAGGCATTCGTAACATGCAGGTTTGACTATGCAAACTCCTTGCTTGGCCACCCCAGTCCTCCTTCCAAAGGCTGCAGATCATCTAGAACTCTGTATCTCGTGCTCTCTCCTGCATCAAGGTCTGTGAACCTATCACCCGAATTCTCGCCCGACTCCAATGGACACAGTTCAAGATAATCAGTTTCATCTTCAAAGCCCTTCATAGCCTCGCCTGTTCCTTTCTCACCCTTGCTTCCCACCTGCAATCCACCTTCCTTAATCCAGATCCCAATTTCGGGTCCAAAACAATATCTAACCTGCGACATTGTAAGTATAGCCGACATGTAAGTCCGTATATTTCTGTTGTTGAGCGGGGAGAGGCGAGAGAGGAGAGGGGTGTGTGGGGGTGTGGGGTGTGTGAGGGTGGGACATTACAGTGGTGGTTGAGAACAGAGCTAGAGTAGAGATGCGAGCAAGAAAAGACGAGAGAGAGCAGAAAAAAGAGAGAGGGGATAGGAGAGAGAAAAGATGGAAAGGAGACGGAGAGGGTAGAAGAGGGAGAGTAAGACAAGAGAGGAGTGAAATGGTTAAGTGATATGAAGCGAGAATGGAGTGCGGGGGTGAGCGAGGGAGGGACGAGAATGGCAGGTAGAAAAGCGTGGGTTAGATAATGAAAGGCAGGGTGCAACTATTGGGGACAGAAAGGGTGAGAATAATAATAATAATATTAATCCTTGCATTTGATATAGCGCTTTTCACGTCTTCTGGCGTTCCACAACGCTGCACGGAATATACTGTAAAGTGAATTGACTGTATATTTGTGGGCGAACGCGGCAGCCAATTGCGCACAGCAATGTCCCACAAACAGTCATGGATTGAAAATGACCAATTTTTTATTGTTTTTTGGTTTTGAAGGGATTATTATCAGGCTCTGTGTGGAGTAAGGAAACTTGCCCAAGGTTTCGCACTCTGCCTGGAATTGAACTCAGGTCTCTCATTTGCAAAGCGAGTGCTCTAACCACTGAGCTACAGGTCTCAATTGGACTCTAGAATGAAGGGTAGATGCAGCGTTAGTGCGATTGGGTGGAAGGAGGGGAGAGGGAGGGGGGAGCAATGGGAGTGGGAAGAAATGAGGTCAGAGGGAGGTGGAGTGGGAGAGGAAAAGGAATGGTAGCTAGCGTGAGAGGATAGGAGAATGGGGAGCAGGAGGGACTGTTAGAGGGGTGAGTGCGGTGAAGGGAAGGGGCAAGGGAAGGGATGTGGGAGTGTGATGGCTGGGGTGACGGACTGGCAATGATAGAGGGAGCAAGAAGGAATGGGCAGAGACAGAGGGACTGGCAGTGGGATATAGAGGGAGTAACTCCGGCTGCTGTGACTGGTACGACAACGTTGAATGAGAATCTACATCTTTGCAATGATAAAGTCCTCCGCTTCGCTTCCCCGCATGAAGCTTTATTACTATATAGTGCTACATAAATGCAAGTCGATGTTGATGGGGAAGGGGTGAGCAGCAACTTGGTAGAATAATAGCCAGTGATTTCTCTTCTTACCGAAAGGGAGAAACATTGTGTTTTGCATATTAACAGGATTTGAGATAAATGTATCTGTTTCTCGGCGGTCACCAAACCGCATCTTCTCCAAGACTCGAAACAGAAACAGAAACGGTCCTTGCAAAATCAAATGCTTTTCGTTCGAGTGATGTGATTGGGAGTCTGTGAAAGAGTATTTGGTTCATGCCTATTGTCTGCTCTCTCCGTCATGTCTGTGCTGGTGCTCGCTCCTCCACTGGAGTACTCCACTCTAATCCCATTCCCTACTTTCTCCTCCATTTTGTTTCTCATGTGCTCGCTCCCCCCACTGGAGGTTGCTATGCTAAGCCCATTCCCTGCTCTCTAGCTCTCTCCCTGTCGTGTCGGTGCGGATTGTTGTTCCCCCACTGGAGTCCCTCGTGGTGATGGCATTAAATGGCGGCCTTGTAGCTGAAGATCGACCATTTACGCTGTGAGAAACTGGGGAGTTCAGATCCCTGATTGTACGAATTACTGCGATAAACATTCCTGCTTTGATCATGTCTTTTCTTTCCTTGTGCAGTGATATTTCTGGAGAGAAAAATTGTGGAATCTGCAGGTTAGTAACACAATCTCACAGCAAGAGACTACTGTGGGAACATTCGCTGCTGTGAGTAGGACTCGTCCTCTCTTCAATTCTATCTGGGGAACGGGAGTAGACACCATCGCACGGCGGGGGCTTTGCCTTGATTGAGCTGGGCCTGGGTGGTGGTGCCATGTTGGCAGGGCTGAGCACTTGGTGTGTTGTCTCTGTGCGAGGCTGTTATAATAATAATAATAATCCTTGCATTTGATGTAGCGCTTTTCATGTCAGGAGGACGTCCCAAAGCGCTTCACAGAACACACTGTAAAGTGAATTGACTGTATATTTGTGGGCGAACGCGGCAGTCAATTGCGCACAGCAATGTCCCACAAACAGTGGTAGATTGAAAATGACCAATTTATTATTGTTTTTGGTTTTGGAGGGATTATTATTAGGCTCTGTGTGGAGTAAGGAAACTTGCCCAAGGTTTCGTCCTGACTTGCCTGGAATTGAACTCAGGTCTCTCACTTGCAAAGCGAGTGCTCTAACCACTGAGCTACAGGACTCCACGAGTCTTGGGGTGGGTGGGTGGTTGGTTGCTGTCGAGTGCTGTTCTTGGGCTTTGGTTCTGTGCTCTGGGGTTAGAGGACGTGCCCCTGGGTGGGGGTGTGTTTGTGGTTGGGGCCCTATTGGAGGGTCTGTGCCTTGACTGAAATGCACTGGGGAGTGTTGTACGCAATACTGAAATTTTATGCGCCCATTCTCCCACCGGAGTGGTTATCCCTGAGGCTTTGTGGCTGCAGACGCGTTGTGTTTGATGTTGAATGGTTATGTCCCGCCCACCGGAAAGATTAGCCCTGAGCTGTCTGAGCTGCGAGGCTGCGGCGAGTATCATATTCCTCTGCTTAGCGTCTAACTTTCTGTGATTGTGTATAAACTGTGTAATTTGGCCTGACACATAACTGAGCTATTAATATACTAATAAAATGGCAATGTCTGTGCATATATCTGTGTATCTGCCCATAACAAAATAACCGATTGAATTAGAGATATGCTTTACATATCAATGGAAATTCTAGCATACGCTGTGGTCATCGGCATAGTTTGGGGGATCCCCTTCTGTTGATGTGCTTTATCTGAAAAAAAGTGAAGCTCCCAGTAATGAAAAATGCATCGTTTTCTACAACAAATTAGCGACAGAGAAAGTCGCGCAATGTTCTATAGCGATAAACCTGTACCTTTATATTCTGTCACAAAGTAGAAAACAATGGACATATTTTTGGGAGAATCTCCTCTAATTATATAATGTATTATAATCTAATATAAAGTAAAATTGTACAAATTATGTAGTATGATATGTAATAATACGCCATAATACAAAGTAATCTTAAATCAACTATAATAATAATCCTTGCTTACGATATAGCACCTCATCAACTCTTCAAAACCTCTTCATATTATCTACTACAATGTGAAATGTTTGTATACTTCATGGGCAGAACGCGGCAGCCAATCGCGCACAGCGGTTAGCACGAAAAGGTTTGGATTGAGTGAGCACATTTTTTTAAAAAGGGATTGTTGTCCCCTATAAAGATTTCTCCCAATTGTCTAAGAGGTCGCAAGTGGCCTCCAGGTTAACAGAGGCAGATGGAGTGCGGAAACTTGCCTAACATTTCGCCCTGCTGGGAATATTATTATCAAGTATACCAATGCAATATTATGTATAATAATCTAACACAACTATAATAATCTAAAATAATTATAACAGTCTGATGTAAAGTAAATAATATACCGTATAATAACACTATCCTTTGTTTACAAACGTAGTTGCAACGGATCGTGTTAGTTGTGTAATGAACTGTCATTGTTATTCTGACACACGGGTTGTCGAATCAATGCAGCCAGCAGTCACAGCGAACATTGTAATGATTATTATTTTTATTGCATTATTTACCCACCAGACAACCTCTCAATGTGACAACTGCTCTGTAAATGTAAACTGTATTGCGTTATCCTGGGTGACTGGAAATGAAACAGGAAACATATTCTTGATACTGTGTGTGATGTTTTCCAGAGGAAGTGAGGCTGGTGAACGGCAGCCGCTGTGCCGGGAGAGTGGAGGTTTACTATGGAGGAAAATGGGGCAGAGTGCAAGGCTCCAGGATTCATCGCTATGACCTGACCTGGGATATGAAGGAAGCGGCTGTGGTGTGTAAGGAGTTGGGCTGTGGATACGCGCTGTCAGCACCAGGAGGTGCTCACTTTGGGAAGGGCAGAGGTCACATTACGATGCATGATGTTTGGTGCAGAGGGACTGAGTCTACTCTGAGTGAGTGTACCAGAAAGACCAGTGGTCACTATTATTGGAGGCCAGACCCCTATGATGCCAACGTCATCTGCTCAGGTAAGTAATTAATTTCCTGATCATTTTTAGATAATCGTATTTTCGGTAACGCAACATGTGAGAAACTATGAAAACCTTTCCATTGCCACAATATCATAAAATCATAGAATCGTAGAATGTTACGGCACAGAAGGAGGCCATTCGGCCCATCGAGTCTGTGCGGCTCTTTGACAGAGCAACTGACTTTTATTAACCCCACTCACCGGCTTTCTCCCCATAACTCTGCAAACCTGTCTTCTCCAGATACCTGTCCAGTTCTCTCTTAAAAGCTGTTATCGAATCGGACTTCATTGCCCTTTCGGGCGGATCATTCCAAATTCCAACAACTCGCTGAGTGAAAACATTTCTTCTAACCTTCCCTCTGCTTCTTTTGGTAGATATCTTAAAACTCAGACCACGAGTCACCTACAAGCGGAAAGAGCTTTTCCTTATCTAGCCTGTCGAAACCTTTATGTAACCTAATATGTTAAGTTACTGTTACGAAACTGTTTATAGGCCACATCCATGGCCCTGGGGTCACTATTCAGCGTCACGGATGTCGGCGCCATCCAATCGGGTGAATAAGTCGTCCTCTGATCATCACTTCGTTTTTGGAGGGTGCGGAGAGGTGATTACGTTGGAGGTAGCACGGAAGGGAGCAAGTGCTGGCACAACGGGTGGTGACCACGGAAATGTTTGAGCACTGGGTAGTGCAAAAGGGGGTGACCAGATTGGGGCTTTGAGCACAAGTGGGGGCTCACATGTAGTAGCATAACGGATGAGAATAATGGGGCAGCACAACGGTTTAAGTACCGGTATGGGAGCATGGAAGGGTGAGCACATAATTGTGGATATAGTGGTGGGGTGAGCAGTGGAGAGGTGAGCACGAGAGGTGTAGCGTTGATTTGTGCGCGCCAGTGCAATGAGCACAGTGGGATAGCACAGGGGTGGGTTGAGCACATGCGTGGTGTGAACAGGGGAGGTGTGAGCATAGGTAGGCTGGAGCAGCGGGGACTTTTAGGTTAGGGATGTGGTGTAAGTCTGGAGCGTGTAACGACAGAGGCGTAACAATATGGGAATGAGCACAGGAGGTGAACGTAGGAGTTCAGGAGTGTTAGCACAACGCTGTGACAGTAGGGGTGTGCACACTGGTGTAGTGCGAAAAAGGGTGCGTGGGCACAGGTGCCTGACCACAAGCGCGTGATCCTAGGGTGGGAGCATTGGAAGCTAAGATCATGGTGGGAGCTAAGCACAGGGGCTTAGCATCGGGTGGGAGAACCGTGGGATGGTGAGAAGAGGTGGGAATTGTGAGCACAGGGCTGTACCAGAAGTGGGAGAACTTGGGAGCAAGAGCGCGGTGGGCTGTGCACAAGGTTTGAGCACATTGGAGATGAGAACAGGGGTAGAACATGGGGGAGTTAGCAGAATGTTGGAGTAAAAGGTGATAGGCAAAGGGGGTTCAGCACAATGGAGGAGCACATGGGTGTTATGCACAGGCATGAGTTGAGCACAGGCAGATGTGAGTACAGCGGCAGTAAGAATTATGATGGTGAGCAAAGGGGTGTGTGAAGCAGGGTGTGGAGTGAACACATTTGGGGATGAGCAAAGCGTGGGTAAGCAAAGGGCAATGAGCACAGTGGTGTAACAATATGGGGATGCGCACAGAAGGTTTGAGCACACAGGTGTGAGCTCAAGGTGGAGAGAACACGTGGGTTGTAAACCGTGGCGTTCAGTTAGGGAGGTGATCGCAGGGGTGTGGGCACATGTTGGGGATAAGTGGATGTTGAGCACAGTGAGAGTGTCACGGGGGAGACCATGGGGGTGTGAGCGCAGTGGAGCTGAGCAAACGTGGTGATCACGGGGTTGAGCATATGTTCAGCAAACGTGGAGGGCACAGCGGAGCGAGTACAACGGAGTTGAGCGCAGGGAGGTGAGCACAGTTGAGTGAGCAGAGGTGGGTGAGCAGGGCGGAAGTGAACAAAGAGGGGTGAGAACAAATGTGTGAGGAGAGCGGAGTTGAGCACAGGAGAATGAGCAGAGAGTAGGAGCAAAGGGGGTGAGCACAAGGGTGTAAGCAAAGGTGGGTGAGCAGAGACATTTGATCAGAGAGGAGGAGCATAGGGGGAGTTGGGTGAGCACAGGATGCTGCGCACAGCTGAGGCAGCACAGGTGGTGGGGCACATCTGAAGCGAGCACAGTGGGGTGAGAAGTTAACAGGAGCACAAGTGTCTGAGCAGCCTGGAGGGCCATAGTGGGAGCACAATGGCGGCAACGCAGGGCCACATGTATGCGAAGAAATGTGAGCAACGTGTCTGCGCATGAGGGTTGTTTAAACAGTGGTTGGTGAACACAAGTGAGTGAGCATTTGGAGGGTTAGCACAGTGTGTTTTGGGCGCAACAATGTGAGTTAAGTACAGGGAATGTTAAGCTCAGGGGATTTTTTAGCACAGAGGGGTAACAATATTGGAATGCGCACAGGTATCTGAGCTCAGGGAGGTGAGCAAATGTTGGTGGGAATAAGGTATGGGTGAACACAAGTGTGCAGAGAAAATGAAGGTGGGCATAGTGTAGGTGAGAAAATGTTAGTAGCATTGGGTTGGTTGGCGTGGAAGTAAGTTGCCTGTTGAGAACAGGGTTGCCCACAGATGGATCGGGAGCACAGGCTTAAGGGTGAGCATAAGGTGGGTGCAACACGAGTGAAAACATGCGGTTTGATCACATAGGTTAAGTAACAGGTAGGTGGACATGGGGGCGGAAGCGGCAGGGGGCTGTGCACAGAGTTAGTGAGCGGAGGGAATGCGTGCAGAAGAGGTGAATTTAGGATGGTTACCACAGTGGGGAGGGGAAGCAAAGGGTGCGAGCGCAGTGGGGGCACGGATGTGGCGTGTTTGTGCACAGAGCGATGAGCATAAGGGGCGTGAACATATTGGGGATGAAGAGTCCTGCAGCTCAGTGGTTAGAGCGCTCGCCTTGCAATCGAGACACCTGGGTTCAACCCCAGGCAGGGAGTAACCTTGGGCAAGTTCCTCACTACACACGCCTAAAATAATCTCTCCAAAAAACAAAAACAATGATAGGTTGCCCATACTTAATCAATGCATATTTGTGGGACACAGCTTTGCGATATTAGCTGCCGCGTTTCGCCCACAAATGTACTGTCAATTCACTTTACAGACGTTTATTTGAAGCGCTTTGAGATGTCTGTAAAAGCGTTATATCAAATGCAAGGAATATTATTATTATTAGCACAATACCAACAGGGTTGAGTACACGCTTGGTGGCGTGGTAAGCACAAGGTTGTCAGCTCAAGGTGATGAGAATAGAGGGTATGAAAAATTAAGGGTGGGAAAAGGGGGCAGGCACAGCGATTGCGTTAGCAAAAAGGGCGGGAAGAACAGCGAGGGAAGCACAGAGGGAGGGGAGCACAGGGTGGGAAAACTGGAATACGAATAGGAGGAGGTCATATGGAAGGGGAATCCAGGGCATTAGCATTGGTGAGTGGGAACTGGGAGGGGTATGAGCACAGCGGTTGAGCACAAGGCAATTCAGCATTGGCAGTGTGAACACAGGGTTGGTGTGTATATGGGAGGGATGAGCAGAGTAAAGAGTGAGCACATTGGGGTGAGCACAGTGTGGTGACAATAGAGGCGATGGGCAGAGTGGCGGTAAACACAGGGTTTGTGAGCACAGAGTGGTAATAACTGGGGATGAGCACGTGTGGTAATCACAGGGTTGTCAGCACATTGAGTCGAAAAGCATAGTGGGTGAGCACTGGTCAAGAGTGAATGTGGTTGCACAGGGAGGGGGCTGATAAAAGTGAGGGAAGAGCGCAGGGGCTGAGTACTGGGGTGGGGGTGGCAGAGCGCACAGGGAACGGGTTGAGCTCGGAAGTTGTTGAACACAGCGGGTGGTGAGCACAGGATGTTGAGCACAGAAGTTGAGCACAGGGGCTGAATATGTGGTGGTTAGTAAAGTTTGAGTTGTGACAAGAGGCGGTGGTGAGGTGAGGCGACTGAACACAGGGTTGTGAGCAAATTGGATTCAATACAGGAGGCTGAGCACAGCTGTTGTTGGGTGATCACAGGGAACTCAGCTTGATCGGGTGTGTGGGGCGGGGGGGCTGGTAGTGGTGGTGAGGGGTTAAGCACAGGGAAGAGCTGGAAACAGGGGACGGCAATCACAGGGATAGGAGCACAGGGACGGGGAGCAACAGGGGAGCTGAACACAGGAAGGATCCACAGTGTGATCACATGGCATGTGAGCACAGTGGGGGAGAGCAAAGAGAGGGTGCTCAGGAATGTGGGGATGAGCTCAGGGACCTAAGCACAGGCGGTGGTGTGCACAGTGGCTGAGCACGGGGTGGGTGGTTGGTGAGCACACGGCCGGTTTGAACACCGGGTGTGGTGATCAAAGGGTCTGAGAGCAGCTTTGTCGGAACAGGGTGGGGTTTAGCAACATGGAACTGAGTACAGGGAGAGTACATAGTGTGCGAGCACAGAGGGATTTAGCTCAGGAAAGGGCACATTCGTGGTTGAGCAGAAGGGGGTTCACCTGGGATCTGAGTGCAGGGGTAAGCACAGAGGGGTAAGGACAGTTGAGGTTTGCACAGCGAAGGGGCTCAGTAAAGTGATTAATGAGCACAGGTGGTGAGCACAGGGAAGTGGAGTTGAGCAATAGGTTAGGTGAGCACAGGGGGCGGTGAGCACAGGGATTGAGCAATGGGGCTGAGAACAGGATGTGAGCACAGGTGTTGAGAGCAGAGGTGGGGAACACAGGGTTGTGAACACCGCGGTTGAGGACAGCCGGTGAGCACAGGGGGGAGCACTGGGCGTGAATACAGGTGATGAGCACATTGGGGTTGAGCACAGGGGAAATTGAGAACAGTGGGAGTTATACTTAATATGCCACCGTGAGCAATGGGGCACAAGTACAGCCATTCAAACATACAGCCATTCTCACACACACACACACACACAGAGCGCCATCCTCAACACTGTGGGTATACCATAGACTCGCACTCTCGCTCTCACACACGCGTACACACATAGCCCCACCCTGAGCAGTGGGAGAACATTACAGCCATTTGCACTGACATAATCACA